TTTGGAATCAAACGCGAAGGTTGCACTTCGACGATTTCTCGTTATTAGGTTTCACGGCTACATTCATTCCATTCGTTTTGTGCCCTATTACGAAGCGTTTTCCTCTCCTTCTCTCACCTTTGAACATCTGGGCCCGCGCGCGTACGAAAGTGCACTTTGGCTTCTTTTACCCCAACCATCGCAAGCACTGTCATGGGATATCTTCACATTAATCGTTTAGCTGAACAGCTTACCGAACGTGGTATATATCACAAAATGACGCGAAACAAATGCTCAGCGCCGAGCTGCAGAACCACGTGAAAGCGCTGTTGCAGTGAATTCATACAGTTAAGTACACATTGATTAATGATCGACATTCCAATCAAATGATCTATAATCTTGGAAGCATGCATTATTCGCCAACAAAAAATGTTCGGTTCTCACAGATAAGACTCCATATCAGATGCACCATGAAATCGTGAATATGTTTATGAATGAGCAAAGTCTGTTTCTTTTGTAAGTGTTGTAAAATGCAATTGTTTGCCCCCAAAACGCTAGAAATCCATAAAACCGTTAAGATTTCATGATAAGCACAAAAATGTTTAGGAAACTATGCATTGGTTAATAGATGAGCATTTTCAAATATATCCCTATGTAAAAAGCTGTTTCGTAAGCTTTGCAAATGAAAGAATACTCGGTTTGAAAATGATTCATGTGACGGAGCATACAAACGAAATAGGAAAGGTTTACATTTCATGAAGAGGCATAAAACATTCGCAATCGGTGGCAGACAGTAGCACTTGACTAATTTGGTATTCACGTCAGTAACTCACCAAACGCCTCTTCAAACAGTAATCAGTCTTGATTATGCGATATTGTTCTCCCGAAAGCCGTTCGTCTTCGCACTTTCATCGAACAGAACATAAACGATTCACACAGCCCAACGATTCCGAAAAATGGCTTGATTAATTACTACTTTTCGTCATTGTATCCTGTCAATGTCGGAAAGCATTCTTCGCAGTCGCCTAATTTTTACACGACTGACAGATATTCTCGGGAAAAGACGCATTCTCTTCCTTTGGTCAGACTTCGAAAACGGCATTACTATTCCCAAATCATTCGTTATCAGAACCATACCAATCACTGTTAAGCATGCTGTCACCAATCAATAATTGTAATCANCAATATGTGACATTACGTGCAAACAGCATCGATATTACGCTCTCAGCATCAAAGAGAATGCTTTACTCACCTATCTCAGGAGTATATTCTCTCTATACAAAACTGTATTAGGTAGTTTTTTGCATAGATCTTGCCTGAATCACTAAATTCTTCTAGTGATAGCACTGTCAAGTTTCAAGATGCTTTCAACTGATCGCATTGAATACATCCGTTAAAGTGCTTTATAATCATTTTACGTATTCAATGATCCATTGTGATGTTTTCAGGATTAAAATTGATCGAGAAATCAAAACCTTGAGCTGAATTACGAAGATATTTTCGATGAAAGAACAATGACAGAGAAGATCTTCGAACTGAAATACTCATCCGGAGAACAAGGGGAAAACAGTGATTTCCCCACAATATCACAGGACTTTGTGTTTGTGAAGACGAAAACTGCGAAGAAAGTAAAAACCGAAAAAATGACCCGCGATGACCTTAAACAGAGGATTTTAAGCATGCGTAAATCACACGAAAAGAACGTGGATCTAGCTGACAAAGGTAATTATTTATTTTTGTTAATTCATAACCATTAATCGAATACCACACGCAAATATTCAAATGAATATTGCTCTAAATCGATGCAATTTTGAGTCCATTGATAATCGAAATTCCAGCTGCTCTTAATCTAATCTAGTGCAACCAAAAGCTAACAACAAGTGATGTTTTTTATGGTGTTTATTGCAAATTCGTTCAGTAAGATGCAACTAGGGTTTGCACGGGATCCCGGGATTACAGTTCTGATCCCGATCCCGGGATTTAAGTTTTGAAAAATCCCGGGATTTCGGGATTTGATAAAACAGATCAATTTGTGTGAATTTTGATAGTATGCCCATCTTCAAGCAAAGCTTAATCATTCCCATCTAGTTTGTATGCAGTTATCTTTGAT